AATTAAAACAAAAGAAAGTGTACATTATAGAATATCGAATGGAAGAAATAATACCGCAAACATCTGTTCTGTTGAGATTTGATCGGCGAAAGGCATTTCAAGCGTTTCAGAATATCGTATATAGTTATAAGAGAGTATAATTGTTATTCATAAAGTTCTTTCACGGGTGTCCACAGACCTTCCTCGTCGTCTTTCAACCGTAATGGAACTTCTATTGGTCAGCAAATTGACTTTCCTCCAGATAGAACCGCGGCGTCGATTGGAAAATGATCTAGCTTTTTTTTCTTTCTTTTTTGCTTCTGCGACAGTGGCGCAACGAGGATATCGCACAGGTGAGCGTGATAAAATCCAAAGCTCGTATGTTAAGTTGATCCTTGAGGTATCCCCGAGGGATCCTCGGTTCGCCCATCAGTATTTTTCCATTGCACAATCATCGGCGGAGAGCCCATCGTCGTCGCCCGATCGCCGGCGACGCTCGCTAGAAGAATTCTAGGGATACCTTGAAGAGATAACCACACCTAGGTCGGATGTTTTTTAAGGGTCTCCCCCATCCGGAATACCAACGGATGAATAGAATTTATTGATTTGGTTTCGACAGAGTGGCCGGCCGTCGTTCGTTACGGCCCGGCGTACACGTATTTGGGCCCGAAATCGTGCGAGGTTCGTAACCGGGGCGGCATCGTTGCAAAATTGCTTATTTTATTATTCGATACATCGATATTTTGTCGTCCGGAATAGAAATTTGCGCCTGAAATTTAACCAAGTAGGCCATGGCTTTGTAGGCCGATCCGTGGGATTATGACATCAATACATTTTACGTAACACCCGCTGAACGACAAATGCCCAAGTTGGGTTAACATTCAGGATGCACCACCGAATCGATCAGCTGTACAGATTATTCACGACCGCCGTCATTCACACGTTCGAGATATCCTGTTCGAAGAATAAAGAGTGAACGGCGACAGTGTAGGGTCGCCAATATGGAACACCCGATTTCAAAAGATTCGCGAAACTTGAGGAACTCGTTTCCTTTTTCGAGAAAGCCTTCGTGAGATTACTAAAAAATAAAAAGAAAGAAAATAACTAGTCGCACTTGTGCATAGTTTACTATAAAGAAATTCAAATGTTTCACGTCTATTGGAAAATAAGAAAATGGAAGTCGACGATCCGAGAAATTGGAAATCTGTAAAGAAAATTGGAAACGCGTCGCTTTTGCTATCAGACTCGAATGTTTATTGTACAGGTGATACGGATAAACAAATATGTTTCAATTTCTGGAATTTATTGTAGCCTTCTGCGGCTCAAACATCGTGCTCTTTGAGTTTTTACGAAACTTTTTTCCAGTTTCTATCGTAATTATATCACTCTGTAGAACTTGCGACGTTCCGCGTTTTGGCTTTTATAATGCGCGCAAGCCAAAGACCGACGTTTAATATTCTTCATATACGCTTTTAGAGCAAGGCTCTACATCGGTCGCAATTTCGCTACTTCCGGTCGCTCGCTACATCATTATGGACGAACACGTTGCATACGTCGGCTAGCCGACGTCCATCTAAAGTATCTTATGCTTAAAATATTTATAGAGAATATATCAACAACAATAACAACAAGAATTTGCTCAGCACCTGACCTCTGATATTATAAAACAAATAAACGTATGAATTTTACATTAAAATATATTATCGAATCAAATAGAAGTAGAAATGAAAACTCTGCTTTTAGATGAAATGCTATATTAATTATAGGATTTAATTTATGTCAAAACTCTTGGCAAAATCGTTTCATCTAGTTCAGGAATTGTACTGTTCTTCTGATTCAGACGTTCGTTTGCATCCCAACAATATTGTGTCAGGCGGCGAAACCGCAAAAGAAGGATGAGCAATCGTAAAGACGTAATGACGAAATCCTCGGTTACAAGTGTTCTCTGCAAAGGAACGAAAATAACGATAACCCAATTCATTATTAATTTTTGCAAATACTTTATTGTTCACGTAACAAAATAAAAAGGAACATTTTAAGTTAATCATTTTCCTACTTAGTAGTTAGTTTACTTACTATTTAATGTCCCACTCGCATTTATCAGTCGACAAGCAAACAAAATAGAGAGACATCGGTAGAACACAATTATTTCTTCTATTATATATGGCAACGTAAATGACATAGAAACTATGATCAATACAAATGATACTATTAATAATAACATGAATTAAATTTGTGACTTGAATTTTCTTACTATTTAATTTTCTTAAATAAATTTTCGTGTAAATCACTATTAAATCATTGGTGTTTGAGATTCTCACGTAATATAATTAAAAATTGAAGAGGAACTAAATGCTATCTGTTACATGCCGTCGCTAAGCATCGCCAGCAATTTTTTATAAACTAATTTTGGAGCGTCGACAGCCCATAAGAAGTCGATGTGATTGAAGTTATCGTATGGCACGTTGTAAATGGACGGTTCATGGGGTAGTTCGTTTACTAGGCGCTTCACATCCTGTAAAGGAAACACATTGTTAATGAAACTTCTATCGGAATAAATTACAGTGCTCTGTTTCGTGGAACATGTACCTCGGAACTGGATAACCAGTCGTTGCTACCGCAAAACAATGTTATTGGCACCGTGATCTGTGACAAATTATACGCAGGTGGAGAAACACTTTTATACTTCAGCATGTTCCCTATTTCCCCGTAATCGTATTGTCTAAAGTATCCTGATTGAATTTCTTGCGCGAAATGGACCATCGTCTTAGTGGAGGTGCCTGCAGGCGTGTGGCTCAAAATCAAAGGCAGCAAAGACTGAAATTCGAGACAAATCAATTGTGTTAAAGTTACTGAACATGGACCTTCTTTCAAAATACTTACATAGCTAAACTCAGTCTCGTCGAACCCCGTGAAAATGAACATCAGATTCGCACAAATTTTCTCCTCCCATCGAAACAAGTCGCACAATGTTTTTGATAAATATTTCACAACATGGTCTTGCGGTAAGAATTCAGTTTCTCCGAGCAAGTAGGAGATTTCCTAAAACAGATTATTAAAAAATCGTACACTCTGTAACGATCTCTAAAGGCGTGGCGAGATTTTTACGCACCTTAAAGTTAGTCGCGATCGATGAAAAATATTTCAACGGGCTTTGCACATGTTTCATGTAGACTACGGGAGCCAAACTGTACACCGATTGCAAATATTTCGTCATAAACGGTTTTTCACTGGCCATTACGTAGAAAGCCGTCGTGCCCATGGAAAATCCAATGTACGCTCTTAAATAGTGATGTTTCTGTCCCACCACGTAATCGATCATCGCTGGAAGATCATAGATGCCTGATTCGTGCCAGCTGCAAAGACAGTTACAGATATAAGTGAGAACCGAGTTGGTTTCATTCAGTGTTCTTCTATTGTTCGTTCACACACTATTGTTCTATGTATGTATTATTAAGCTGATGATTTACTTTCATTATCTTTGCTCGCTCACCGGTGGTCGCTTAGCTTCAAACGAAAATATTGCATTCACTCCCAGATACTGGGACCAATATGAAGAACAAAAATGATCACCGGTGTACACGCGGCGCTCGAAGTGTTAATATCTGGCACGTAATTACAATCATAAAACCCGATCAGAGGTACCTGAAGTTCCAAAATTTGTGGTCGCAGGTGGTCATGTTAACGTGAGCTCTTGAATAAGTGCTCCCGCGAAAATTTCCAAGCCACACATCGTAGCCCGCGTCGGCTAACAAATAAGCTGTAAAATAAAAAAAAAAATACTTAGACCAATCTAAATGAATTAATCTAATAGGATGAAACAAGATTTATGACTAGAAATTTCTATGAAAAATTGATTCTTGAAAAAATTCAGTATGCGTCACTGACGCAGATTACAAGCGCGGCGACATCGATGACTTCATCTGTTCTAACAGTTTAAACGAAAAATTTTCAAAATTCGAAATTTCAGTGTTGTAATACTGTTTCAATGTCGCTGTGCGAGCAATGGGACGTCTTTTAGCAGGAGCGTTTCTAACAGATAAGTTATCTTACCAAGAGCTTTTCCTTTCCCGAGGATAACCCAATCGGCCGAACTGCCGAGTACACCGTGTTGCAAAATGATCGCAGGTGATCCAGATTTTCCTGGAATTCTGTGCATCGTTAAGAGGTATCCATCCTCCGTTTCCACGATGTGAGCTTCCGCAGGATACCCTTCTTTTCTTATCAATTGTGCCTGCAAGATACGAGTGATTTTTAGCAATGATTCATCGTGCAAATTATGCGTAAGAGTTTAAAGATCGTAGAGAGGCATTAGCTTTATATAGTAATCGATGAATCAAAGTAAATTTTTCTGCTCGGAGAATCTTCTTTATTTATAAGAGTAGTATTATGTGAAATGCACTGTACACGTATTATAATTCGAATATCCTCGCGAGAGTGATAGATATTATTTATAAAGTAGAGTAATTTGAAAAGAATGACAACTTTAAAATGCTCTAACTCGAGTTGGCTTTATTGAACAACAATATACGAACTTTATAAATTATGATCATTATACTAGAATCTACAAAATTACTTTACTTTCAACGATCTAAAGCCGAATGCGCAAGCAATCTCTTGAATTAATTATATATATATATATGATTTCTCTTGAATAAATTATGATTAATTATTCGAGGAGCGTCTAATGCGCTGAAAAAAAAGAAATATTCGTTATCATTGTGCAGGTATCATTCGCGTCAAAACATAATAAGAATAACATGATTGAAGCGAAAGCAAGTCAAGGATATTTCATCAAGAAGAGATTTTCTCAGTTCGATACATAATAAAAGATAAAGTAACAATCTTTGTAATTTTTAATATTAGGAAATTAATTTTTTCATTTAATATATAAAATTTTCTAGATTAAAATAAAGGAAAATTCAGCGGAAGATTCTACGGTCTGTTACAAAATGGCAACATAATCCTTACTTACTCTCTAATTTCACATGCATTACCTCATAATTTGTTTTAACTAAATAAAATGTGCGATTTCGCATAGAATTGATGGGAATTGTTACATAGTGTATTGAACCGAAAATGAAAAGTTATTATTATTATTATTATTATTATCGCTTAAGTTGAAGAATACAATTGCACTTACTGTGTTCAAATCGTCAATTGGATCGCAATCGAGTGAAATTGCACAAGATAAAATGCACAAAGATAAAAAGACAATTAGTGATTTCATTTTGAAAACTGTTCACAGGACAAATCCACGTCCTATTTTTTGAGAATGTTATGAATTAATATCCAATATTGTTAGTTGATATTCTTCGGCAAAACTGTTCACAGGACAAATCCACGTCCTAGTTTTTGAGAATATTACGAATTAATATCCAATATTGTTAGTTGATATTCTTCGGCAAACGTGACACGAAGGCACTACGGGATGTTTATGAAGTCTCCTTGGCAGGCACAGCTTCTATAAACTGAACTTCTGTATTATATCTAGTCATTATTATGATTCATTAACCTTCACGTCGCGACCACGACTGAATAATAAGAACCCACTGAAACAAAGGCAAAATTTTATTGAAAAAGGTATGTAATTGAAAAGATTTCATTAAAGATCTGAGTCTGGAAGCAAAGTATTATCGACGTTATGTAGGATCTTGCAACATTTTCTCTGGTGCTTATATTATTTTTTAATTAATTGTGTAAATTGAAGTATTTATTTTGATTTTGATGGTACATAGTGGCACACCCTTGAATACGAAGTATGTAAAAAATTCGAATTTTGACGCCATTAATTCGGTAAAGTTTGAAAAGGAAAACACACACAAGATAAAACAGATTTGATGCAATATAGCAAGTGTACACTTAATTGTTAAACAATTTTATTTAATCGAGCACAATTATTTTAGAATGAAACAAAATTAAATTAATAATTAAAAATCTGATCGTTGACTTTGTCACAGATTACCCCGTTTTAGTAGAATCGTCACTTTTATGTTTTAAGGTTATGGTTAAAACATCTTCAAATATAACGTACGTATGTATACAAATGAGAAATGTTTTTCTGTCGTTTTCTGTCGTGAATCAAGATTAATAAAATACGTGGATAATAGATACTTTAATCGTCGTGCATTCATTTAATTGCAATTGAACAGTCGAAACGTGGAAAACTCGAACTGTCATGCAATTAAGTAAACGATAACATTGTCGTGCTGTCAGGAGGTTTTGTGTAGCGTAAGATGTAATTGCACCTTGAACTTTTATGAGTATAAATACATATATATATATATGAAAAATTTCGCTGTAAGACATTTATGAAATGACATTTAAAAGCAATTTGTATGAAAATATATTTTTGTATGGGTTTAATAGTATATTTCTGTTGCACATTCCTAAAAATATTTATTCAATAATAGTCTCTCCATTTTACATATTACTGCTTTTTGAAAAAATATTTTATATACAAAAAAGTAATTTTTACTTTTTATATTTAAAACACTATAAGTGCTTGTTTAATATGACATTTTAAATGATTTTTACTTAAATTTCAGCATATAAAAATGAATGAAATTACATTACCGCCTTCACCAAATTGGTATTTAAGCCATATTCTTGCTTGTTCTTATAATGGAACTGTTGCATGGGGAGCTAGAAATACAATTACAATTCTAAAACTTAATGAAAACGAGAAAGCATTGAATTATTTTATAATACGAAATGCTCATAAAGTCAGGGTGACAAGTCTTGCCTTCACTCCTCAGTTTAAAGAAGTAAACGGTAACTTATTAGCTTCTACAGGAGATGATGATAAAGTTAAAGTATGGGATGCAGAAACATTGGCTATGGTTTATAGTTATTCTTTTGGAGCAGTAAGTAGATATAGATATATACTTTATGAAACTTACACAATTATTTCTTATTCACTGTTTTCTTTTAGGACAAGACAGTTGTAGGTACTGATTGGTCATACAAAGCACCAAATGTATTATATGCTGCAAGCTCTGATGGTTGCATATTATCATGGAATGTTTATTTTAACATTATCTCATCTATATCATTGGGAAAAGTAACACCTACCTGTCTTTCCTCTTGCCCACATCATCCTCGTCTTGTGGCAGTAGGTTCTAAGCGTGGTTTAATTTATATAGTTAATTTTGAAGGAAAAGGAACAGTAACATATAAACTAAGAGGACACGATACAGAGATTGTCAGTTTGTCTTGGTGTCCTTCAGAAGAGAATGTTATAAATGGAAAGCATAGTAAAGACTTACTTTTAGCGTCTGGTGGAAAAGACAGGTAATATAATAAATTATCGCAATTACAACAACAATATTTAAAATTGCATATATTTGTATTATTAGATCAATTTATATTTGGAGAGCCGGTGGAGATGGACGTTATGAAATGACAATTTCATTGCCTGTAAATCCTATAGTCCCTTGTCAGCACAGAAGTAAATTAAGCTCAGGTGTAGGTAACTGGATCACTGTGCATTGGATAGAACCTAAATTACTGCTTACAAGTTCTTCATGGAGTGAATTAATTTCATGGGATTTCTCAACAATGACAAAAGGCAAACCTAATCGCAAGCTAGTACATGCTCATCATAAAAGAGGTTTGTTTTGTATTGCACATGTACCAGATCTGCAAGAAGATTTGCCAGAAGATTGGAGAATCAGGAAAAGGTGACGATTCAATTGCAATTTTAATTTGAAAGCTAATTCTAGAATAAATTAATCCTAATTCTATTTTTAAAGCATGATCTAACTAATAATATACATAAATGTTTTCAAACAAATTGCAGGTATAAAATTTGGACCTTAGCACAAGACCGCAGACTTATTTGCTGTGCAATAGAAGAAAATAATGTTGAAATAGAGTATGATGTGTACACACAAAGTGGATATGTCTATTGCATTGCATCTTGTCCAATAGAAACTTCACGTATTGCATTTGGAGTTGGAGATGCAACTATACGATTGTGGAATTTATCAGAAACACATACTAATACTTTTGACATAACAATTTTGTGGCAAAAGATTATGGGAAAGATTCGTACAGTAAGAATATATTTTTTATATTATTCATAATATAATGAAAATGAAAAGTAAATTGTATAACTTTGTACAATTTGCATTACACTTAGATATCATGGCATCCTGAGAGAGAAAACTTACTAGCATATGCAACTGAAGAAGGTCGGATTGGTGTTTTTGACACAAATAGTAACAAACCACCTACTTTATATAGACAGTATCATAGAAAAATAGTATACGCCATTCATTGGGGTCCTTATCCTGAGACTGAACAGTACGCTTTGTATTCTTGTGCTGAAGGCGAATGCGTATACTATGATCCAGAGCTACCAAATGAAGGTAACGTGTTAAATATTCTCATTAAAAAATGCATTGGTGATTTTAATAGTAGTAATGCTTTCTAAATTGTCTTTTTTACCAGAACCTAAATCTATATTCAAGAAAGACTGTACAGAATTTAGTTGGAAACCAGATTTTTCTTGTTTGGCAGTAGGATTTGAGAATGGGTAAGTGAAATATATAATAGCAGAAGCGTGTGTATTTTGTGCTAGATAATTTATTTTCTTGATTTATTCTTTCAATTATTTTTCAGATCTATTTCATTTCTTAATCAGGAATTAGAAGAGCGTGGATATGCTAAATCTCCTCCCACTGCAATAGTTCATTGTTTAGTGTGGCATCCAGAGAGTACAGCAACAGATTCAACATATTCTCCCATGAGAAATTACTTAGCTGTTGCTTATAAATCGTGCACAATAATCATCTTTGACTTATCCAATTTAATGAACCATTTAACAAAACCGGAAGATCCACCTGAAAATGGTGGCGAACGGAAATGCGATCCATACAAAGTAAATGAAGTTGTAGCTTCTTTAACTGGACATGTTCATAGTGTCGTCTGTTTAGCATGGAATCCATTCATTAGCGGACAATTGGTATCCGGTAGTTATGATTCTACTGCACAGGTAAGAACATCAACTCCATAGTATTATCTGTTACAGTATGAAAAATTCAGCAAATAGTAGAGTGATGACTAAAAAATACTTTCTTCATGCAAAATACTTTCTTCTTCTTAGGTATGGAACGTCGAAACACAAGAATTAATAGCCACTTACAAAGGTCATTCTGGTCCAGTACTGTGTTGTATGTGGAGTCCGCTAAGTCCCGATTATATCATAACGGGATCGTTTGATTTTACTGTTCGAATATGGAAAATTACGAACAATAAACCCATTGTTCCGCAAGAAACAATACAAAAAAATCCAGTTAAAAAAGATAAAAAGAAACAAGCTAAAGTAAACGAAATCACTGATGCTTCAGTTGCGAATGGTGTACCAGAGTTAACTAATACCATATCAGAATGTTCAATATCAAATGTTCCACAATTTACACAAAGTATGAAATAATAATCCTTATTATATAATAATGTTACTTTTTAATATCAAATATGAATTTTGAATTTTAGAATCAAAAACATTAATGCTAAAAGATGAAAGAAAGAAGAAAACCGAAAAAACACCATACTTTGTAAAAAGTACTAAAACAATGAATGATAAAACACATTTGCTTAAGTCTCTCATAAATATTGTTAAGAGTGAGATTCACGAGGATGTGAACTTAGAAGAAAATCATCATGATATACTTTATCATATGACACCATTAATATTTTCATCAAAAGACAATTTTATGTCATTTTTTACCAGTGATAGTATGTAATTTATTATTGACGTTAAACCAGAACACCATTGTTTTATATGATATGTTATAGTGTATCACATTTATTCATATTATATACGTTTACAGAATGTGCTCATGCTGAAGAAGGGAGACATACCATAGTTACAGAGATGGATGTATGGTGTGATAATCTTAAACAAAACTTAGATAATGCTGCTAAAGAGAATCGTCTCACTGATTTTCTTGTTTCTCTTTCAGTTAGTTTGTCTATGAAGTATGCATAACTATATATATTCATTACATAAAATATGAAGATCAATCTGACAATTATAGTACGTTTTAGGACATGGAAAGAAATGTGTGAATTATATGCATATCAATTAATAAGCGAAGGTAATCCTTGCAAAGCGGTATCTTATTTGCTTTGTATACATAAAACCTCAGAAGCCATAGAAACGCTTCTGAATGCGAACTTGCATAGAGAAGCTTATGCTCTTGCAAGATGTAAACTTGAACCTGATGATCCAACCCTGACAGATATACTACAAAAATGGGCCAAATACAGCGTGCATACTGGCCGTTTTGAAGAAGCAGCATACATGTAAGTTTAATAACTTACATAATTGTTATTACAAAAGCGTAATGGAAATCGTAAATAATTTTATAATTATTATTTTAGTTTTGCTAAATTGAGAAATTTTACTGATGTGATAAAATATCTTGCATTGCGTAAAGATGCAAGCACTTTAATAACTGCTGCTGAAATTGCACTTTTACGTTACGACGATATACTCAGTAAGTCTTTAACTGAGGAAGCAATAAATTTAGCTTTAGGAAAATCAGAATACAATTTGGTTCGAGATATAATCACAAAGTTTCCGTACTTTAAAGTATGTTGTTAATATATCTTATGTTATTATAAAATATTTATAAGTATTATTAATAAATATTAATATTTGAATGCTTTTTAGTATCGAGAAGTACATTTATTAGTTTTTGAAGAACTTCAGAAAACAGTTGAAAGAAGTATAAAGCTTGGAACACTACGAATGTGGTTAAATGGAAAATTGGATGATGATATATTGCAAAGTTTAGAAATAATATGTAAAAATTATTATTGTTGTTATAATGACTTGCGGCAAAGTAACAGTTGTTATTCCGTTGACGATGAACAGATGGTAAGAACATGCTTAAAGAGAATCATGGAATTAAAATTAACATTTATGAATTTCATACACTTTTCATTTCAGTTGTGGTTGACTATTAGTTATGAAATTGCATTGGCCATGATTTCTACTGAGAAAGAACAAAAATTGAAACATGTAGCTACCGCATTAGGGGCGATTACACAATTTGAAACACTGCATCGAAAAAATATTGAAAATCAGTGTAACTTTTTGTTGGAAGTTATTATAAAATTAGATGCTAGAAGTCCGACAAATACAGAAAGTATATTTTCGAAAACTGATTATCCTGTATCAATCAGTTTACGAGCATACTTATGCCAGGCTATGTTGAATTGGTTTATAAATAACATAGAAACAGAAGTTATTGATGCAGATATGCGGGTTTATATTGTTTTGATAGAGGATTTGTTCGAAGATGCTCTAAATAAGCAAATAATTAAGTATTGGTTAATACAAAATGAAATTAAAAAGCTAGAAAGTCAAGTAGTATCTGCATTGGGTAAGTTGCGTACGTATTAACTAATTTATTTTTTATAAAGTGTTTACTGTAATTAATGGACATATTAATTACGTTAGGTAAAACGCAAGAAGATGGTACAAGTGACGAAAATACAGAACTCCTTGTACAAAAACTAAATGCATTAAAAGCTGAGAAGAGACAGCTTGTAGAGGCATTAGTTTGTGTTCCTAATCCAGTTATGGTTTATAGCAATGCAAATGAATTAGGGAGTAAATTATTAGATGATACTCTTAAAAGTAGGTATCTAGAAATAGTTTCTGCAACATGGAAGAAAGCTACCTCAGAGATAGGTAATTTCATATAGCAACAATTGTAATGATTTGCATGTTTTTTTCGACGACGAATTTGTTCATATATACTATCTAAGATCTTATTGGAAAGATTAAGGCATATGTTCCTCAATATACATATATATATCTTGTCTCAATAATATAATACAGTTTTCGATAACGATAAAAAAATACGTTTTTTATTTATATTAATTAATGTAAGTATTACAAAATATCTGATTTTTTTATTTATAAAGAAATAATACAAACTTCGATAAAATATTGTTACTGTCTTTAATTGGCACTTACTCTCCAAAAACGTAGTTCTCTATCACTTGCAGCACAAATGTATGGCAATTTATAATGCCACGTTATCCCACCTATTAATTTAACTTGACCACAGAGTATTTCTTGATCAGATTTTACATTCCTTACTTTCAATAAATTGTCTGGTCTGCCAATAGTTGCTATTAAATGATCATAAGAAGGAGAAAATTTTACCATTAATCCACCTTCAATATGAAGGGGACTTAATTCATGAGGTAAACTAAAAATTAAAAAATATACACATTCAATGTAAAACCAACATTATCTACAAGTACTTAATTACATTACCTGAATTTGGATGATATATCCCATAGAAGTAATTTTCCAGCAGCTATACCAGCTATTTCAAATGGATTAGATCCCCAATCAATTGACATTAAGGGAACTATGTCTGCATCTAAAGACATAATTGCTTGTCGACTTTGTATATCATACATATGAATCAGTCCATTTTTTTCTCCCACAAGCAGTTTGCCAGGCTTTTCAGGATGAAAACGTACAGTCATCCCAGGTGATGTTAAATAAAATGTAGAAATACACCTTCCTTCCTCGTTGACTGCCCAAAGTTTACATGTATGATCATCAGATACAGAAGCCAATATTTTACCTTCAGTTTCATAACAAATGGAGTTTACATAGTCCTTATGCCCTTCCATCTTATATTATGAAAAGAATGTTATTATTAATATTACTAGTAATAAGAATAAATATATGCAATTTATATTTTGATATTCAATGTGTTCATTAAATATTGTTTACTACTTTACCTCCCATATAGTGCTATCAGACATGTTACTACAATATAATCTTATTTTAAAATCAGCCCCAGCAACAGAGAACATTAACACCTTTGATACCACACTGAGACAGGTTTCTGGGCTCCAAGCAATCGCATGAGGCCTGGTATCATGACGAAATGTTCTAAGAGTACTATAAGCAATATCTTCCACTGTCTCATCCTCCTCCTAAATTTGTAGAAATAATAATTCTTATTAAATTAACAAATTTCTTTGCCATTGTAGTCTTTTCTCAATTAAAAATATATTACTTATTTTCAATAAATACTATTACTGTTTTAAAATGTAGACAATTCTGAGCGAAGCTATCTTTATTTCAGAATGTCAACATGCAAACAAGAAATCTTTACCTGGAATTTAATAGTACCGATAACAATTTCTTCAGCCAGAGCAACACAAATTAAATGTTGAGACCATTCGTACGGTGACAATTCAACGCAATATATTTGCTTCGAAAATTTTAACTGAAACGTAGACTGTGTGGTCAGAGCTTCGTCCATTCTATGCCTGTATACTCACACGCAGTCGCAAATGCAATTTTATAAGTGTATGTATTCGTGTTCAGATCGACGAAAGATCGCCGGCATAACCTCCAAAATTTCTTGAAGAGATCAAGCTCTAGAAATTTTGTTAATAAGAAGTTTCAACAATCTATCTATGTACGGTAAATCAAAATGAATAATATCTACTTTAATTCACCAATTCGCTTATAATACAATGATTTCGTATATCATTTGCTGCAATTACCATCGTAGTTTCGTATAAACATAAAGAACATGCAATCCATGCAAGCGCAAGTATTGCAAGGTAAGGTTAGGTTGAATTCAAATCACCTAGAGGGCAGTAGGTATTTTACGTATGGTATATGTAATCGTCCAACGTGCCGCGTATCTCTCAGAAACGAATTTATTTGGCTACGTCTAAGATCAGCATTTATGCACGCCGCGAATTTTTAATTCCTGTAACAACAACCAGATATGAATTGACGGATCATATTGGCAGAAATCTTGCCAAACTGTATCTTCGATCCGTCTCGATCCACGATCGCGTTACAAGGTGAGTATATACCTTCTGTCAAGGCATGCTGACCAGGACATGCTGTGCACACTTCGCAAGCTGCTTCGCCTCGTGTTTTCCTTTCATTCTAATTACATCATTTTGTATCATCTGCGTGTTGCACAAATTTCTACTATTTCACGTAAGCAAACATAACACGCACAAAGCACTGATACTGTTTGTGAAACACGTTTACCTTCATAAGCTTCTCTCCAATTTTGAATTTAAAAAAAGTAGCGTTATTTTGTGAATTTTAAGAGATTCTGGTACTATTTTGTTCTTTCAATGTTTTTTCTTGTTCAATACCTCGTATGTATTACTGTAAGTATCATACTTTGACAAACATAAAATAAAAGATTATTTAACAGTGATAAATAATATTTATCAAAATGTTGGCTCCAAAAAAGGAAAGTAATATTAGCGAGTTCTGTCATTTGGAGTAGAAATTGATAAATCAATGATATCTTTCATACATATGTTTTTGAAGCTAAGTAATTGACCATCATCTTTTTTTTTAATTTAACCATAGTTTTTATGTGAGTACTACAAAAACATGGATCATTATTTGTGTAAAGTATAGTGAATCTGTCTCTTAATCTTAGTTATATCTATTATCGTGCATGCTAGACATGCAAATACAATTATCCTTACTAGCTTAAAAATTAGCTTAAAAACTAGAACGAGAAACGTTTATGTATTACAAGAAATCTTGTAATTTTTGTTGTTATTGCTTCAACATGATAATCAAACATGTGAAAAGTTGAAGAATATACCTTTAACCTACCATTGATTAATTATAATGAAGTAAAAATGTAAACTGTTATAGAAAATTACAAAACATTGTTATATATTAATTTGTTACAGTATAATAGGTAGGGATGGAGTTTGGTGTAGGAGATGTTGCCCAAATATCAGCGGAACTTGCTCAAGTGGTAGAAGTGATGATGTCACCAAATGTCCCACAGCAACAACGTTTGGAAGTATACAATGCCTGCGAACGTTTTAAAGAATCTTCACCTTTATGCGCACAATGTGGACTATATCTAGCACAGAAATCACCAAATAGAAGTTCCGTAGTTCGTCATTTCGGTCTACAGCTTATGGAGCATTGTATTAAATATCGATGGACTCAAATATCACAATCAGAAAAAATCTTCATAAAAGAAAATGCAATGAAACTGCTGCAAGAAGGTTCAGAACCATTGTTGCAAGAGGAAGCTCATATTAAAGATGCATTATCTCGGGTTGTGGTAGAGATGATCAAACGAGAATGGCCACAACAATGGCCTACACTGCTCGCTGAACTTAGTCAAGCTTGTACAAGAGGCGAAAGCCAAACTGAACTAGTTCTTCTTGTGTTTCTAAGGCTTGTGGAAGATGTTGCCCTTTTGCAAACGTTAGAATCTAATCAAAGGAGGAAGGACATCTATCAAGCACTTAATACAAATATGGCTGAGATTTTTAGCTTTTTTTTAAGATTAATGGAACAACATTTCTCAGAGTTTCAAAAGAAGAGTAGTTTAGGTTGTACTTCTGAGGCAGCTGCACATAGCAAAATTGTACAGGTGTGTTTAACATAAAAGTTTTAAAGTATATAATAAGTTGAATATGCAAAACTATACTCAATTACTCTTATTTGATAGGTAGTATTATCTACACTAACTGGATTCGTAGAATGGATTTCAATAAATCATGTCATGGCAGAAGATGGTAGACTATTGCAAATATTATGTCTCCTTTTGGGAGACCCAATATTTCAATGTTCAGCTGGTGAATGCTTGTTACAAATTGTAAATCGTAAAGGGAAAGCTGAAGAAAGAAAACAGCTAATGATACTATTTTCCGAAGATGCTTTAAGATATATTTATGCTGCAGCAACTGCTGTACCACCTGTTACTGGGTCTAATGAATTTATTAACTCCTCAAATAATCATTATTTGTTTTTGAAGAAACTCACACAGGTAAATATATTAATTTTCGTAATATAAAAAATACACTAGAGTAAATTATTCAATATATTATTAAGAAATTAATTAAACAATAAATTTAGGTACTAACTGGAATGGCAACACAACTTTGCGCACTCTGGTGTAAAGATGACAGTTCTAGCATTCGACCAACACACTTCAACATATTTTTAGACACAGTAATGACTTTTACTATGTCTTCAAGTCTGACACTTATACACATGGCAAATGTAATATGGATAATGCTTTTTAAACATGAACAAATAAAACAGGATCAATTATTATTGACATATGTACCAAAATATGTAGAAAACACAGCCCCAAAATTGATAAAAGTTGCATATCCACATGGTGGACAAAGTAACGGAATGAGCTCATATTGTCTCGCTGATTACGATTCAGAAGAAGAATTTAACGTATTTGTTCATAGACTTAGAACTGATTTATTGGAAGGATTTCGACAAGCAACGATGGCAGCACCGTTAGTAACATTTACTTATGTGCAGCAATGGTTAACAGCTAAAATAACAGAAGGCATGGCAGATCTTGGATATAAATGTGAACAGAATGATCAGCAATATCAGGAATGGGATGCTGTCGGACAAGCTTTGGATTCTGTTGTATCAAGAATTCTTCTGATTAACGAACGACCAAGCGTGCAAACTGGCTTACAATTGTTGGAATTATGTATTGGTTATTCTCCACACGATCCTTGGATACTGTCAGCTTTGCTGTCTTGCATTAGTGCCCTTTTTGTGTTCCTATCTATGTCAACTGGTTCAATGGCTATGCCAGGGGTAGCCATCCTACCAAGAGTGCTAGAAAAGATCTTTGCTGCTCTGGTATTTGAATTACCTGGTGAAACGAAGGATACTCGATCTAAATCTGCAAAGAATGTAAGACATCATGCAGCCAGTCTTATGGTCAAGATTAGTTTGAAGTATCCGTTGTTACTTCTTCCAGTTTTTGAACAGATACATACAATGGTTCGTGGCTTGGCTAGAGAACCTAGTTCCTTATCCAAGATGGAGGCTATCACATTGTATGCAGCATTGCTACTGATATCGAATCACTTCTGTGATTATGAAAGACAAACTAGATTTGTCGCCGAAGTAATTGATGAAGCGTCGACAAAATTTATTGCTATTGGTTCTGATGCGTTTAAAGGTCCACTAGAATTAATGAGACTCGTAGGATTGGACCTACCTCCAGTTGAAAGTATGACAGAGGATCCAGCTGGTCAAAATCGATGTGATTTAGTGGTTTGCATTTTTACAATATTGAGTGTTGTAAAGCGATGTACTATTCCGGACGATCCAGATCGCGCTGCAAGAGGTAATTTTGTTGCTGCGCTTAGCGAAAGTGGAAATCCAGTATATAGAAATCCTGCTACACCTCATGTAATTCCACTTTTGCCCACACTTTTCGCATTACTCAGGGTAATGAATGCTTTATTCACTCCTGCAGCATTAGCAGCTTTATCAGAGGTAAAGATATAATTGATAAATCATTCATTTAATAAAATAAAACCACATATAATAAATACTGTTTTTAGGGATACAAAAGCGCTCATGAGCTATTGGAGTCAGAGAAGGCAGGTTTATTAGGTTTGAATGTAACAAATGATAATGCCCCTGAACCTGATCAAACATCAGGTAGTGCCGTTACTCGGATGCAATCATTTCTTAGTACTATTCATGAGCAGAGCTATCATATGTTAGGTAGTGGATTCCATATGATTGGCAGAGACTTTTACCAATTACCTGGTTTAGCACCAGCACTTATCAATTCGGTTTTTTCTAACTTGGAGGTAATTTTCTATTGTTTTTGTTTCTAAAATTCTGGAAAAGTATATGCGTACTTTAAAGTCATACAGATGTCTGTTTAAATCTACAGATTTCATTCTTTGGTTTCAGATGATTCCAGACTACAGATTGCGACCTATCATACGTGTCTTTATGAAGCCATTTATATATTACTGCCCCCCTGCATTTTATGAAAGTGTTCTAGTACCTGTACTGGCTCACGTTTCCACGCATAGTAATATATTGTCTTCTTCTATTCTTTGGTAACATTTGATTGACATTCGTTTCAATTTTAATTACGTTTTGCAGTGTGCCAAAGATTAAGTGCCAAGTGGCAGTATATTGCACATCTTTACGAGTCTGGTGGTTTAGATGAAGAAAATACTGACACACAAGAAGTTATTACTGACATGTTAAATCGAAATTTAACGAGAGACTTTGTAGATGTATTGAAAGTAGCCCTTGTCGGAGGTGCAGCTAGTGATGCAACACCTCTAGATACAATGGAACAAGAGATAGGGGGAATGGCAATAGATCATCCATCGTCGCGTGGCAATAGTATAGTTGCAGAAGTCGTCAGTGAATTGGGTACTTTTGTCCTTCGACATCCATCGACGTGTCATAGCGTTGTCTTATGCGTCTTAGGGTAATGAACACTTCTAGTATTTTAATTTTATATCAAATATAAAAATTAATAGAATTTCGAAATTATGATTTTTATTTTATTTAGAGCTTTGACTTGGAATGATTCAAATGCTAGTTTGAAAGCTACAATGCTAACGGGGCCAGTTGTTCGAGCATTAGCAGCTGATGGTAGTCTAACACCTGCTATGGCTGCGCACATTATGGTAGCTATTCTCCAAGGTTTACAGCTTCATGGCCAACACGAGGCTAATCAGGGTTCGCTTATAACTTTGGGTACACAAGTGTACGAATGTCTGCGACCTAAATTTCCAAATATTATCGAAGTAATGCAAAAAATTCCGGGGATAAATCCTACTGACCTACAGCGTTTTGACGAGAAGATGGCCATAGTTAGTACTAAAGGTAATAAGATCGAGAAAGGAAAGAAGGATCTTTTCAAGAAGATTACAAATCAGGTAAAATTGCTGAAATTTTAGAGGAAATATAACAAAACTGTATTATCGTATAAATGTATATTATATGATATTTATTACAGCTTGTTGGTCGAAGTGTCGGTCAGTTATTCCGCAAAGAAGTTAAGATAGATAATTTACCACGGATAGAAGTTTTTGGGAAATCGCAACAAATACGCGTCGACGATATTTCTAATAATGCTACTGATACTGGTATCACAGCTTTATTTGCAGGACCGACGTAGCAGAAACTACATTTAGATGACCATATCATGAACACCTGGTCAGAATTGATAAATAACAAAAAGCCATCGTGAAAGCGACCTCCTAGAAAACGAAAATGGAATTATAGATAAGGAAATCCTGTACCGAAAATAAGATGTCATAGAATAAGTTTCCTTCGAGCAATTTTTTTAATTATTCGTGAGGTTGAACGTGTGCATACAGTCTGGAACAACTGCATGATACATACGTAAACTACGTATTGTATGTATGTGTCACAGATAGAAAATAAAATTGAAAACATTACGCTTACGCACGCATTCAACGTCAATTGTGAATAGTTTGTAAAAAAATCTAATGCTATTTATGAAATCTATCTTATTTTTGGTTCGGGATTTTAACTTATAAAAATTACAATTTGTTCAATGGGTATCTAGGGATGCATGCGTGCGAGAATCTGTATGTGTGTATGCACAGTATGTGTAGTGTGTAGAAATACGCACTTGTAACATAAGAAAGACGTTCGTCGATAAAGAACAACATGCAACAATTCTGATATAAGAAATTAAAACAAACAAAACAGAGTCTAAATAATTGATAAATTATATATTAAGTTGCACGCATTTATTTCTATTCTTCTTCATTTACATAAAATCTCCTATAACAATGTAAAACAGCAGCATGATTTTAAATGATCACATAATGCGTAGAACGAATTTGTAAACAATATTTCGCTATAATATATAATACAGAGGTTGTTGATTTATACAAAACAATTTTTACAATTTGGTATAAAAGTTTTTATGCAAATCATTCACAATTGTTCTCGAACAAGCAAAATCTGTAAATTTTTTGGCACTTTTTAAAAGCGCTGTTACAATATAACATTTTGAATCAATATTTGTGTTCTAAATTTAATGAA